TCTATATTAAGGGCGTGTGAAAGTTACGTGTTTCGTGGCACTCCGTGGGGTTATAATTACTATCGGAAGTTCAAAGCATTTGCTTGATTCCTGGAGCTTCGTTAGCATAAGCCGCGCCATATATAAATGGGGTTAAAGTGTTGCTGCAGATTTAGAGTTGGGTCCGTTTTTTATGTGAGGACATGGAATTTTAGTTTGACTTTAGTTTGGGGATAAAAAGGTTATATTGGTCGAGTAAGGTGCTGTAGAGTAGGGTAGTATAAGGTATGGTATTGTTGAGTAGAGTAGAGTATTTTAGGACTGGGTGTTATAGAGTCGGACATAGCATAATAGGGTAGAGTATGATAGGACAGAATGTGATACGGTAGTGGACAATACAGTATGGTAAGGTAAGGCAGGGTATGATATAGTAGGGTAAAGCGTGAACAGGGCCGTGCGCGAGGGCGGTCTCCAGACCAAAAGTGCCCACTCGGCCTAGGTATGATAGAGTAAGGTTATGTAGGGTAGAGTGGGGTAGGGTAGGGTAAGGTAAGGTAAGGTAGGGTAGGGTAGGGTAGGGTAGGGTAGGGTAGGGTAGGGTAGGGTAGGGTAGGGCAGAGTAAGACGTTGTATTGTATTGTCAAATTTTGTTACAGTACGCGAACTCCAAACCCGCTTTTTACAGTACCTTTTGGTTACAGTACTCTCGCGTTCTCTTTCCCGTTACAGTACTCTCATTGCTAATATTATAGGTTTAAAAACATGTCATTGATCAAGCTTGTGTTCCTTACTGTTTTGGTGATTGTCTGTTTGACGCAGCTGACGGAGGCTTTTCGTTACGACCGGTCGATAATTCGTCGTTTTGGCATGGCTAAGTACCCTGATGCCTACAATATGGGTGATGTTGATGTGCGTTACATCAACCCTAACAACTATTCTGACTAAACTTAGTGGATTTGGTTCTGCAGATGGCTTTTGCAATACTACTTGGCTATTTTTGGTACTATTTAGTATTATTACTTCTAGTGCTATTAAGTATTAATATTTTTGGTACTGTTTAGTACTGCTAAATTCTTTAGTATTGTTTAGTACTATTTAGTACCGATGGTTTTACTTGTACTGTATAGTACTGTTAGTTCCTTGATACTATTTAGTACTAGTATTTTTTATGAATTCTATGGCATTTCTTGTATTAGTACTATAATATGTGCTACTACGATTCAACTTGTACTGTAGAAAAATCTTTGTGTTACAGTATACCTACTACTAATACTATTTATTGTTTACTCAGTACTAATCTTAGTACTTGTATTGGTACTATGAGTCCTTCTTTTAGCAGTACTGAACTTATTATCGTAGTACTACTTTTAAAATTCCAACTGGTACTATTATGATACTACACCAAATTCTCTACAACTCATCTCTATAGTACTATACGTAAAGTCGCGTTAGTACGGTACGTCACATTCGGTCACAACAATATGTTCAATGTTTTTACTATGGTTACTCGCTTTTTATACAAACAACAATACAGTATGCATGGGCTTGAAAGTTCACGAAAATGGCAATTGTTATAACATGATATTATCAATATTTATTTGAAACTGACATAATAAACGATATGTTATTGTTGTGGACATTAGGAGTGTGCGTTTTAGGGCAGGGCATGGGAAGATGAAATAAAAAGAATTAGGGTGGGGTATGGTAAGGTAGGATATCGTAGGGTGGGGTAGAGTAGGGTAGGGTATGATAGGATATATTAGCAGAGAAAAGATTTTTTAAGTAGGGGGGGGGGAGGGTGGGGGGGGGGATCCAAATTTTTTTTGGACAGGCTTTGAGGGGGAGGGGAGGATAGTAGATAGGAGTGATCCATCCTTATTTACCCTTTACCAGCGAAGTATGCCTATCAGGGACGTCGCTACGGTTTTTCTCTGGGGGGGGGGAGGTCGAAAATTTTTTTTTGGTCCACAGGTACCTGTGGACCGATTTTTCAAAATTTTTTTTTTCGTTTTTCCGCGTACAGGTACCTACCTGTGGAATTTTTTTCGGATTGGCTCTGGGGGGGGGGCGGGCTGCCCCCCCGCCCCCCCCCCAAACGACGTCCCTGATGCCTATACCTTCTCTTTAAGGTAAAAGGGCTTACGACCGGTCGAAAAATCAAAATTAAAAAAAAAGTTTTAAATAAAAAAAATGTAATTTTAAAACTTGAAAAGTCAAAAAAATGACTTAAAGACTCCAAAGAACGCCTGATCGTCCGTTTCTTAAAGTGCGTTGTTAATTTAATACCGAGACAATTGCAATATCATAGAGTTCAAGTGGTGAATGTTTGCCAAATCTCTTGACCTTGTTTTGTGTTATATCAATAACAGATATGAAGCGAGGAACACCTCGTTAATTAAACATAATAGTCCAACATATACATTACGAAAATGTATAAAAGTAGAGGTCAGTTTAAGGTTTTGGCGTGAGAAAAAGTGATTTTTTGAAAGGGTTATCTGGTCAATTTTTATAGGGTGGGTTAGAACTGTCGGGCTTATCGTAAGGCAGCTGTTGGCCTAAAGAGGTAAATTAAAAATTTTTTAAACAAATTGGCAGGAGAGAACATGTTTGTGTTATAAGCGTTTATTGCGCTTACTGTTAAACCGTTTTATATTAGACACTATTATGTTTTAATGCCATATTTAGATGTATAAACAAAAAAGTCTTATAGTCACTTTGTTTATGCCTTAACATTAGTTTATGAACGCTTAATATTGTCTTTTTTTCCCTTTTTTGACCTGACTCTTACTCTCACTCCTTCCTTACCCTTACCCATACATTTACTCCTACCTTTTTGCCCTACCTTAACCCCTACCCTTCATGTTTCTTCCTACCCTATCTTTACCCCTAGCCTTACTATTACCACTGCCTTTACCTTATAGCCCTACATTTGCCCCTCTTAACTTTACCCTTACCTTAACTTTCTGTACCCTTGTCTCTACCCTTACTATCCGTACCTATCCTTAACCATATAATTACAGTTAGCTTTACTTTTTTCATAACTGCTGCGGGTGGACAAAAAAATTTACATTTACCGGTAAAAAACCGGTAAATTTACCAACTTTTTTTTGCCGAAAAATCAATTTACCGGTAAAAGTCTAACCCTACTGCTACTCCTACCTTCATTTCTACGTTGTACTTTAAAAAATTAAGGTTGAATATTTCTAATTTAATTCTTGAAAAGTTGATTTTAGTTTTTAGTTGAACCCGTTAAATTTCCCCTACTATCTTTACCCTTCTCGTTTTTATAATGTCTCTACCTAAAAAATTCAGTCCAGAATATACCTAATTCAATTGTTAAATTTAACTTTTTCCAGCTTTGCCTCAAAAATGTCACCAAAATTAAATGTCACAGGTCGGGGCGAAAAAGTCGAAACACTAAATGAAATTCGGGGCTTAATTTTGTGAACTTGGGCCGCTTTTCTCTCCTTTATAGCACATTTTTATTCTTTTTTTTGCGCCAAAAAGAATTCGGCCAGACTTTGAAAAAAGAATATCCATTTTTCTCTTTAAACATATGCACTTTTTCATGTCGTTTCTGTATATTTTTGGTTAATTATAGGCTGATTGTTATTTGGTTATTAATGGGGTTGTTAGAAAATAGATGGTTTTATGTTATGGTTGTTGTGTGTAAATATAATAGTTTTATTGGGGGTTTTTTGTAATTATGTTAGGAGCTTTTATAACGTTTCTTTAAAAGTCGTGATACAAAATAGGGTAGGGAAGAGCAAAGAAATTTAAGGTCAAGTAAGGTAGGGTAGGATAGGATAAAGTAGGGCAAGAAAGGTAAGGTAGAGTAAAGTGGAGTAGGTAGGGTAGGGTAGGGTAGGGTAGGGTAGGGTAGGGTAGGATAGGGTAGGGTAGGGTAGGGTAGGGTAGGGTAGGGTAGGGTAGGGTAGGGTAGGGTAGGGTAGGGTAGGGTAGGGTAGGGTAGGGTAGGGTAGGATAGGGTAGGTATGGTAGGGTAGGTATGGTAGGGTAGGGTGGGATAGAGTACGATAAGTTAGAGTACACTGGGGTAAGGTAATGCTCTAGTAAATGTTCTAAAACAAAGAAATCTAAAACTTTTTGCGGTGTTACCTAATATTGAAGATACAATTAGATAGCCTTAGAGAAATTGTAAGAAATGGCGTTGCGCAACCGTTTCTTATGCAACTTTTACGGTTTCCATAATAGTTGCCTCGGTGTAAAACGACCCACCAAATGACTGCGAGTACGGGAATTTTACGTTTTGTTTTTGCGAGGTGTCACTTATTGTTTGTTCTCACGTTTTTCTTTGTTATTCAAAAGAGGAAAATAGCTTATCTGCTTAGATTTACTAAGCTTATGCCTATTAAACCTAAGCTCGTTACGTTTAAAGTTTTTTAAACCTAATCTTACTAAGGTTTAACCTACCAAGCTTCAGTTTACTAAATGTAAGCAGAGTAAGCGCAGGCCTTCTAAGCCTAAGGTTTCTAAACTTTTGACTACTAAGCCTAAGTCTACTAAGCTTAAGCCTACTAAGCCTAAGCCTACTAAGCCTAAACCTACTAAACCTAAGCCTACTAAGCCTCAGCCTACTAAGCCTAAACCTACTAAACCTAAGCTTACTATGCCTAATCCTACTAAGCTTATGCCTACTAAGCCTAATTCTTGGGACTGCGCTAAAATTTGTAACTAGACTTTTTTATTACACCTTATCATTTTTAAAAATACTTTTTACTTTATACGTACAAAATGTTTTGAATGCTCAACCGTTTGCACAGTTTATCACAAAGCACAAGTTTAAAGTTCGCTGGTCAAATAATAAAAATAAAAGTCCATAATATTAGACAGAGATAAGATTTTCATCATTCATTTTCACAAGTTTTTTCATTTGTTAGTCATATTTTTTGAAAAATACGAAAAAAATTCGATAAATTTGAAAAAGTGAAAGTTTTATTGAAATTTAAAATTTGTCTAGAACGTGGTTGTGATTGACTGGGCGTGGATAATTGTACAAAATGATTCGAAGCTTCACGGGAGGACTGAATGCTTTGTAGGTTTAATTGAAAATGACATTTTGTAATTTTTTTGGTTTGGGCGGGGTGAATTTTTTTTGAGGGGTGGATGTTTTTTTTATTTTTGCTATTTTGGTTGAAGGTAGGGTAGAGAAGATTATATTAGGGCAGGGTATGGTATAATAGAATAGGGCAGGTCAGGCTGGGCACGGCAAAACGGGTCAGAGTAGGGCAGGCCTCGGCACGGCAATATGGGTCAGGGTATCGTACCTTTTCCCAAGATACAGTAGGTTGGAAAAGGTTCTGTAAGGTATTCTACAGTTGTGTAGGGCATGCATTTTAAGGCAGGGATAGGCTTGACTTGACGAATGGGCCGACTTGGACCTAAATTTAGACCGGGCTAGTGCAAATCAAGGCGCGGCCTGTTTGCATGTAAAAAAATTCTGGTCCGGCCTGAAAAATGGGCTCGGCTTGTTTGTTATGTCTAGGTTAGCCAAGGTAGGATAGTGTAAGTAGTTTGGGAAAAGGAAGGGTAGGGTAGGGCAAGGTATTGTACATAGAGTAGGGTAAGGCAGGGCAGGATATGATATTGCAAAGCAGAGTAGGGTAGGGTAACATCACAACTGTGTTTTTTCTTTTGAGTAACAAGTCTTTAGTAGGTGTAAAAACTAAAAACTGTACACTGCAATTACTATTGTTACGATGTACAATTTTTGTTTTTACATTTTTCGAAAATGTAATTGGCAATCTCTGGCTTTTACCTAGCTTTACATCTCAACAATTGCTTTTTCTATCGTTATTTTTGGCATAACTTTGTTATTTCTATAGTGCTATATCAGGTTTGCTACTGCTTTTTGTCTATATACTTGGTTATTGTACTATTTAGTATTTGACTTTCGTGCTATATGGTACTGGTCTATCATACTACATAGTACTTTGATATTATATTGTATAGGATTTGAAGGTTGTGCTATATAGTACTTGGATATTGTCTTATATATCATAGTACTGTGCTATTGAAATATATAGTACTTGACATTCGTACTATCTAGTACTGGTCTATCATACTAAATAGTACTTGACTATTGTAGAATATAGTACTTGCCAATGATACTATATAGTACCTATATACATGCATACTTTTAATACTAAATTGGTTGCTCTAGTACGTGTTGTATCTACTTATGTATAGACGATTATCGATATTTATGTTGATGTAAGCCTATCTATTCGAACTAAAAATGGTAAAATTTAGTTGTTTTGGATTGTTTTCGAAAATGAGCGAAACTGACTTGGAACGAGGACCTGACAAGATCGAAGGCGATGAGCTGGTTTGTGTTCAGGCGGTAGGTAAAATACGATGCATATATTCATGTCAAACAATTGAAAAATTAAAATTTTTAAAATTAAATTTAAAAGTTATTTTAAGTAAAGCTTTTCTTGCAATATTATGACTTGTAGGTATGGAGACACGGGCAAAGAGCTCCGGTTGGCACATTCAAAGGAGATCTGTATCCAGAAAGTTATTGGAGACGAGGCTATGGTGAACTCACTGAGGTAATTATAATATCATTTTTTTGTTATATAATAGAACTCCTATATAACGAAAATTTTATATAACAAACAACTTTTAAATGTCTAGCTATTAGATTTACAAAAGGGTTTGGCTTAAGTATTTGGTTTGTACCATGGGCTGGGCTATGGTTTAGACCCCAGCCCTCGGGCCCCACCCCCTGTGCCAAATTGCTTTAGCTTGGCTTGGGGTTGAAGCGGGACAGGGCGTAGAGGGCTTTTTTTTAGTCTACTACAAGCTATTTTGAGCTAAGAGGGTTTCAAAAAGTTTTGTCGTCATTTTCTGTTGCATTGCATATAAGAAAGCGACAAGACTTTTTTTTTGCAGTTTGATGTTATACTAGGTCTTAGATGGGGCTTTGATAGCAGAAACGTTGCTAGAGAAATTTTTATTTTTTTTCGCTCTTCCCCCCCCATTAGAAAAAATGTGTAGCAACATCCTTGCTGCATGCTAGGTTAATACTTGCAATTTTAAATTGATGTTCTCATGTATTCAATGATAAGAAAAATAAATTTTCTTGTTTCAGAAAGGCGTTCGACAACATTATGAGCTTGGCAAATGGGTAAAATCACGTTACATCGACTATCTCAAGTTTCTACCAGCAAAATACGACCCAAAAACGGTAATCATTCAAAATATTTTTTTATTTTTTGTAAAATACGCTTACCTGTACTGTGTTTCAAATATTATGGTTGCAGATCTGGGTATGAAGGGGTACATTTTTATTCTTTTAGGTTACTGTATGGCGGATTTTGTTAAAAGAGGAAATGAAAAGGTGTGAAGTGGTAGGGCAGGGTAGGGTAGGGTAAGATAACGCAGAATATGATGGTATAGGTTAGGGCGGGGTACTGTAAGATTTTTTAAAACTTTAAGTTGGTCATAATATTGTAAGCGTGTTTTGAATACTGTAGGTTCAGGTAAGTACTGTGGGGCTGGTAGGATACTTTTAGGGTAAGGTAGGGTAAGGTAAGATAAGGTAGGATAGGGTAGGGTAGGGTGGGGTGGGGTAGGGTAGGGTAGGGTAGGGTAGGGTAGGATAGGATAGGATAGGATAGGGTAGGGTAGGGTAGGGTAGGGTAGGGTAGGGTAGGGTAGGGTAGGGTAGGGTAGGGTAGGGTAGGGTAGGGTAGGGTAGGGTAGGGTAGGGTAGGGTAGGGTAGGGTAGGGTAGGGTAGGATAGGATAGGGTAGCGTAGGGTAGGATAGAATAATGTACGATAGGATATACTAGGGTAATGTACAGTAGAATCAAAGTGTCTAAAACAATATATCTCTCCTTCAGATCTTCCTCAGGTGCAGTGTAGTACACCGAACGATTGAAAGTGCTCAAGAGAATTTGCGCTCACTCTACGAACATGATCCCAACTACAAAATGCCTCAGGTCAACACGTTCAAGGACAAAGACTGTGTGCACCTACCCTTCAGATGTTGTGTTAAGGCGAGGGAAGAGATCATCAAATGTGGCAATGGGGAACCAATGAGGCTTTACGAGGAGAAGTATAAGGTAAAATACGGTGTTTACATTGTATATCGAATATATAAAAACTATTTTTTTTGAAGTTTTAAAATTTTCGAAAAAATTAAATTTTAGGTAACCAAAAATTTTTTTTGAAAATTAAATTTTTTTTTAAATTGAAAAAACAGCTCAATATGTATAAGGTCAAAAATGTTATTTTTATAATTTTTTTCAGGACGTATTAGATAAAATGGCATCGGTAACAGACCGTCAGTTCACGACATTTGTTGATGCTCTCTTCTTGACAGACCCTTTTACTACTGAAGTGAGTTACTATAAGACTTTTTTTTGCTTTTTTAAAATAAAAATGGGATTTTTGGGTAGGGTAGAGTTAGTAGTAAAGGGTTTTTGATGAAACTAAATTTTTTGAAGTTGCTGCCATTTTTTAATAGATTTCTTTTGAAAAACTTGAAAATTAAGCTGCGATTTTAAAGTAGAAGGTAAAGAAGACTGTAATCATGAAGTGAAAAGTCTTTTTTTCAAGTTATTGTAACATAAAATGATGTTTTTTTTTTGAAATTTGTTTTGATTTCTTTTCCAATATTTTAATGTATTTGCCATTTTTTAATAGATTCTTTGTGAAAAACTATAAAATTTAATTTCTTTTGTAATGCAGAATATAAAGAAAACTATAATCATGAAGTAAAAAGTCTTTTTTTTTCAAGTTATTATTACCTAAAATGACGTTTTTCGTAAATTGTTTCGCGATTTTTTATCAAAATTTTTAAGTTTTTTTATAGACTTTTCATAAAAAGCTTAAAATTTAACATTTTTTGTAATGTAGAAGATAAAAAAGATTATAATGATGATGTGAAAAGTTGTTTTTTAAAGTTATTATTACCTAAAATGACTTTTTTTTCTAATTTTTCAAAAATTTTTTATCAATTTTTTTGAAGTTTTTGCCATTTTTTGATAGATTTTTTGCGAAAAACCTAAAAATTGAGCATATTTTGTGAAGCAAAAGCTACAAAAGACTATAGTTTTGAAGAGAAATGTTAATTTTTCAACTCATTATTACCTAAATGATGTTTTAGAAGCATTTGGGCCTTGAACTTCCGAGGGAATTCGATGAGATTTTCGAAGAAATCGACGCGGCTCACAGAGACAGTTTGAGGAATTTGTATGGGTATGGTAAGTATTATCAATTAGCCTTTGATTTTTTTCGATTTTAAAATAAAAAATTTTTTTAAAACTTTTTTTTTAATTTTTGGATATTTTAAATTTTTTTTGTGAAAAAGTCCTTTTTTTGCCATTTTTTAGGGTTTTTCGAAAATTGTAGAATGACTAATATAGATTACGGTAGAAAATGAAGAATTAAAGGCTGCTGTTAATAAAAATGTCATTTTTAGTTGGTCACACTCCAGAATCTTCAGTAAGGATCAGGAAAGCGATGGCTAGTGGACTGGTCGAACAAATGAGCAAAAATATCAAAAATAAAATCCTAAATGCACCAGAAGCCAAGGATATCAAGTACTTTGTTTTTTCGGCGGTGAGTTGGATTTTTATACTCTTCTCATACTATGACTACTACCTACCCCTACCCCTACCCCTACCCCTACCCCTACCCCTACCCCTACCCCTACCCCTACCCCTACCCCTACCCCCTACCCCTACCCCTACCCCTACCCCTACCCCTACCCCCTACCCCTACCCCTACCCCTACCCCTACCCCTACCCCTACCCCTACCCCTACCCCTACCCCTACCCCTACCCCTACCCCTACCCCTACCCCCTACCCCTACCCCTACCCCTACCCCCTACCCCTACCCCTACCCCTACCCCTACCCCTACCCCTACCCCTACCCCTACCCCCTACCCCTACCCCTACCCCTACCCCTACCCCCTACCCCTACCCCTACCCCTACCCCTACCCCTACCCCTACCCCTACCCCTACCCCTACCCCTACCCCTACCCCTACCCCTACCTCTACCCCTACCCCTACCCCTACCCCTACCCCTACCCCTAACCCTACCCCTAACCCTACCCCTACCCCTACCCCTACACCTACCCCTACCCCTATTCCTACTACTCCTACCCCTACGTCTACCCCTACCCATACTCTAACATACCCTACCGTTTATTTTATTCTATTCTACCCAACGTTACTCTACCCTAACCTACCTTACACTACCCTGCCTTAATCTACCCTTTACCTTCATCCCTCTCTCCCCGGAAAAAATAAGTAGCGGTGTCACTGCTCTTGTCCTTACCCTCGTTTCTAGTTTGCCTTATTTTACTTTTTTCTTACTGTACCTTTACTGTAGTCTTACTTCTACCCAACTCAAATCTTGCATTAAACTTATCTTACAATATCTTATTCATACCTTATCTTTGTCGTGGCAAACTTTCATTTTGTTTTAAATAATTGTTTGTTTTTAGCACGACACTGTAGTCCTAGCCTTGTTGGCAACCTTTGAATTTGACAAATTGGATTACAATCAAAACTTTAACGTATCATTGGGAGCAGCTGTGTTCATGGAGCTGTGGAAGAAGCCAAATGGGCAGTATTATGTCAAGGTAAAATTTGAAATGATTTTTAATTTTACCTTTACCTCTACCTTTGTTATACCTACCTTTATATCTACTCATGTTATCTCTACCCTATCCGTTGTTACATACCTCCCGTTATTGATGTTATTGTAGGTGCTGTACCGCCGAAACGCCAACGAGGTCTACGACATGACGGCCGACATTAGCGGCTGCAAGCAATACAAAAATGGCATTCCGTTGGACGTGTTCTTCGAGCGATGGCAAAAGTTTTATCAACCTCACGGACCGGACTGCCAAAAGGTCGATCTCCATGTTAGACTGTAGATGTTTGGGTATGAAAAGGAACAAAAATGGCTTTAAAATAAACGGTTTTTCAAATTGAACTTTGTGTTGTTGGCATTGGTTTTGAAACTTGTTGGATATCTTTTTTATTATTTTTTATATTTTTTTTATTTTTAGGCTTAGAATTTGTTTTAAGCTTCAGAATTTTTTGCTTAAAATTAATTTTCAAACCGGAGCTTTGATTTTAAGTCTAAAATTGATCTTAGAACCTATACTGATTTTTAAGCCCCAAATTTGGTTTTTAAGCCTTAATTTGATTTTTAAGCCTAAATTTGATCTTTAAGCCTAACATTTGATTTTTAGGTTTAAAATTTAGTTTTAAGCTTAAAACTTGATTTTTAAGCCCCAAATTTGGTTTTTAAGCCTAAAATTTGATTTTTAAGTTTAAAATTCAGTTTTTAAGCCTAAAACTTGGTTTTTAAGCCTAAAATTTGATTTTTAATCCTGAATTTAATTTTAAGCCTAAAAATTTATGATGCTTTTTACAATTATTTCTGTATATTAAGAATTTTTATTAAACCAATAATAAATACAGCTAATAAGTTATCTACATAAAAACTGAGATTATACGTTTCATTCTGTATAGTGTAGTATCTGTCATTCCATGCAATGTTGGTTTAGGCTGGTAGGCTTATCAAACAATAGCAAAGTTATAAGCTTGAAAGCCTTTTAAGCCAAATTTTTGAACTCGACCGGTGGAAGATCGAAATCTTCACGAATTCGATTCAAAATTGGGTAGTAAATGTCTTGGGTGGCGTTCATGCCGAACACAAAGTCCATATGGTTGTAGTTCTTGATTGGCACGTTTTCCTAAAAATTATGATTATAGAACTTGTGGCGCACCTTTTGTAACAGAACTTGTGGCGCACCTTTTATAACAGAACTTGTGGCGCACCTTTTATAACAGAACTTTTGGCGCACTCAGTTTGTAACAGAACTTTTGGCGCACCTTTTATAACAGAACTTGTGGCGCAGCTTTTGTAACTGAACTTTTGGCGCAGCTTTTGTAACTGAACTTTGGCGCACCTTTTGTAACTGAACTTTGGCGCACCTTTTGTAACTGAACTTTTGGCGCACCTTTTATAACAGAACTTGTGGCGCAGCTTTTGTAACTGAACTTTTGGCGCAGCTTTTGTAACTGAACTTTGGCGCACCTGGTTTGTAAGAGAACTTTTGGCGCACCTTTTGTAACTGAGCTTTGGCGCACCTAGTTTGTAACAGAACTTTTGGCGCATTTTTTGTAACTGAACTTTTGGCGCCTGTAAAGAAGGTACCCCCACCTGCCCCGCTCTGAGTGACGTCAAACGTAATATATAGAAAGATTATGTAAATTTAGATCTTCAGCAAAGTATAAATTGCGCTTTCCAGGAAATCTCGAGAAAAATTGGCATTGTGTTTCAAGCCTGTAACTTCGTCATTTTTTAAATTTTAATTATTTTTCTTTGATATACTAGTAGAATACCTTTAAATGAACCTACGTTTTTTTATTTGTAAGCGTAGCTTGTATGGAAAGTCGAAAAAAAGGCTTGAAACACAATGCCAAATTGGCGGGAAACCCAAATATTTCAAGTTTAAAACTCAAAAGTGCGAGCTAAAATTTTTTTATGGGTACTATTGGTAGTACGAAGAATTCATATAAAAATTTTGAGCTGATTCTGAGCGGGGCAGGTAGGGCACTTTCCTTGTTAGTACAACTTTCTTGTAAGACACAGCTGGTATAGGCTATGGCAAAAATTAGGTCAAGGTTGAGGCTATGGTAAAAATTTGGTCAAAATTCATTTTTGCTTTTACTTTTTTCAATGTTTGTTTAATCTTTGTTAAGACTATTGTCTTTTCAGCTCTTTCATTATGAATCATTGACTTACTGACGCCATTTACCGGAAGCCTTATTACTCATAATGGTTAAGAAGGTCAGGTTATTGACAAGACTTGCTCAGTAATCTTATCTACAAACAAACCTTTTCGAAACGTAAACAAAGGTATGAGACCAGCAGGGGCGAGCGGAGACTTTTGGTCTGCGGGCGGGGGTCGAAGAAATCGGCACAGGTAGGTACCTGTTTTTGCGATTTTTTTTTTCCAAAAATTCACAGGGGGGACCACGTTCAACATTTTTCGAAAATTTTTTAAAAATTTTAAAAAAAAATTTAAAATTTTTTGGAAAAAGTTGAACTTGGTCCCCCCTGTGGATCCTTTCGACCCCCGCTCCCAGACCATAAGTCTCCTTATTATCCCTGCCCGGCTCTGATCACGACCATGTTATTAGTCCGTTCACTTAATTCTGCGCTCCATAACTCTGAACATTTGCTTAGAAAGGGGCGCAGAATAAAGTGAACGGTCTAATAACATGGTCGTGATCAGGGCATATTATCTTGACAAATGGTAATGAAGCGAGAAGGATTATGAGAATAAGAGACAGATTATAATAATATTTGGCAGTTACATGACTTTTTGCTGATAAATATGTTTTTGTAATAGTTATGGAGATAAGCGAATTATATTTTTTTGATTATGATAGAGGTATTGTTATAGACTTTACAATAAGAAGGGTTTAGAAGGTGTAATCTTACTAATACGGATCAGCTGTTCCATGTGGTATAACAATGTGACCTCACTTGGTAAATAAAATCAGATAAAAAGATAATGATAATATGGGTTAAGATTAGGTCTTTGTGGCAAAAAATGTCACGTGGGCTGAAGGTTTAAAATAGTGTCATAAGGCTTTCTAAGCTTGAAGTGGGACTACATACTAACAAGGAAAGTGCCCTACCTGCCCCGCTCAGAATCAGCTCAAAATTTTTATATGAATTCTTCGTACTACCAATAGTACCCATAAAAAAATTTTAGCTCGCACTTTTGAGTTTTAAACTTGAAATATTTGGGTTTCCCGCCAATTTGGCATTGTGTTTCAAGCCTTTTTTTCGACTTTCCATACAAGCTACGCTTACAAATAAAAAAACGTAGGTTCATTTAAAGGTATTCTACTAGTATATCAAAGAAAAATAATTAAAATTTAAAAAATGACGAAGTTATAGGCTTGAAACACAATGCCAATTTAGCGAGGAGTTCACAACGTAGTTTTTGATTTCGATTTTCTTGAGATTGACTGGAAATGGCAATTAAGTACTTTTCTGGAGATCTTATATTTACATGCTCTTTCCGTATAAAAAGTTTGGATTCAATCAGAGCGGGGCAGGTCGGGTACCTTTCTTATACAGGGTGCGTCAAAAGTTCTGTTACATTGATAAGCCTAATTTTCAATGTAAGAACAGTTAGAAAAAGAAAATTTGGGTAAGAATACCTTTTACAGAAACTAAATGTTGTGTTGCTGCTAATTTTTAAAGCTACATAAGTTTTTTAAATGAATTAATACACTAAATCAAGGAAATCATATTGAGGTATAAGCTGATAATAAGACACGTGAGGTCGCTAGCAAACCGAGCTTTTATGGCGTGATTGCAACTTGGAATGGTTGTAAAACTTGATAAAGTTTTATGGCTTTTAGCGTAAACATTTTAAGAGATTACAACTCAAGGTGTACTGTATTTTTAAGACTTTTAAAACATATTAGGTTGAACCAGAAGAAGCGGGACATTTTTAATTTGTTTTTTTTAACTAAAAGTGTCCCGCTAGCTCCAGCTCTAGCTCTGGCTCTAGCTGTAGCTCTAGCTCTATCCCTAGCTCTAGCTCTAGTTCTAGCTGTAGCTCTAGATTTAGCCGGGCTCTAGTCCAGGCACTTGTCTTACTTCTAGTTCTAGCCTCAATACTCGCACTGATGTAAGCTTTAACTCAAATCTAGTCCTAGCTCTCGCCTTAGCTCTAGATTTAGTTTGAAATGCAGCCTTATGTCTAACTTTATCCCTAGCCCAAGGCATAACCCTGGCACTAGCCTTAGCTCTAGCTCTAACCTACCACAACATATTCCTTCCTCAAGCTTGGAATCAAGAACTCTTCGATATCCTTCTTATCAGCCAATTGATCGAAATCACTCCAAAACAAGTGTACCAGCGCGTTATCCTCGTTCAGGTTGTACATTGGGGGATCTTTAGAGCCATAGTGCTGTACATTCTCATGCTGAGTCAGGAACTCGTACTGTTTCAGTACGCCACTTCGTACCATTTGAGCCCAATGAATGACATTCTGAATACTAGTACCAGCTGGTACTTGGGAAGTGTAGATCGGGGTTCTAGTCACGTTGAGTTGATGTGAATCAGGACCAGTGATAAGAAATAGCATGTTGTCGCACAGGATGGTACCAATCTTGGGACCACATACTAACTTGCTCAAGGTTCTTGTGAGGAAGTTATTGGGTAAGAACTCACCGTTTCCAAGGAACGGTGAGCCCACTCGCACGAGGTCGTAGAAGTACTTGGCCAAAAAGTGTAGTAGACCACCAATGTGCTTAACAGTACCAACTGGTGCCAAGGCGAAGAAGCGTTTAATCTTTTTGTGGAAGTCAGGGTCACGACTGAGCTTACTGAACATGGTCAAGGTACCTTGACTATGCCCAACATAGTACAAGCTCTCTGTATTGGTCTCTTTGAGTACGGCGTTGATCATTGCGTCCAAGTCGTACTGTACCATATGGTCGAACGAGAATTTCCAAAAGTCACGGTGGTGAGGGTTGAGCTTAACGTGCCGTTTACTGTACATGTTACCACGCATGTTGCCGAGCCAAACATCGTAGCCACGGTCGGCGAAGACGAAGCCGGCTGACTGATGAGGTAGGTTGGCTACCCAGTTGGAGCTACTGGCTTCGAGGCCGTGCTGGAAGAAGATGACTGGCTTGTTTGGGGCTGGGCCTGACTCACGACCAAAGGGGATACGGTGAAGTTGGAGGATGTAGCCGTCGTCGGTCGTTACGTCAAAGGTTTGGCATGGGTAGCCCCAGTAGTTGATTAGTTGGGGCTGAAAAGGTGGATCGGTAAGGTAGGGTAAGGTAGGATAGAGCAAGGTAGGTCGGGGTACTGTAGGGTAGGATAAGTTAAGATAAAGTAAAGTAAGGTAAAGTAAGGTAAGATAGGGTAAGGTAGGGTAGGGTAGATTAAGATAGGGTTGGGTACTGTACGGTACGGTAGGGTAAGGCACGGTAGACTTACCACAGTCATGTCGATCTGATCATTGATATCCTGTGAATAAGTCTTAACATCCTGCCCTAAGGCCACACCAACTACCGTAAGCCACAGCAGCATCAGTCGCATCCCGAATAGATTGACACACCTCAATGTAAGCCTAAGCCCATTTATATACGTGTATAACATTGTCAATCCCCAAAACACAACCTTATCACCGGGGCTGATAAGGCATTGTGGGCAAGTTTAATTGTCATCGCGACTCAATTACAACTTGTTTTCCGAGTGGCGAGCACGCCGTGGACACGTTCGATTATCGCCGTTCCGAAAAAAAATATTGGGAACGGCGGAATGTGCCTCAACGTTCTGACGGCAATGTTGATTCCGATTGAGGTTTACGACCGGTCAAAGGGCATTGTTCATAAATGATAAATGATATTTTATAGCTGACAATAAAAATATTATTCAAGTATACGACACATTTTGTGACAAATTTTGTAGGAAAGACGCTTGTTTGTTCGGAAGGTTCTGGAAGAATTGTAGGAAAGATTCTTTTTGCTTTATCTTATAGTAGGTACGGAGAACTCAATTTTATTGAAAGTGAACTTTCATTAAGGATGTATTGTTGATACTGAACATTAATAGGTTAGTCTTAACTTTAGTTTTCAATTCAGCGTTAGATTTATAACACTTAGGCTTAGTATTGAACTTGGTCTCGAACCTGGACTTGGGATTAAACTTTGGCTTGGCCATCGGCTTGGGCTTGGACTGGGATTTTGACATGACTGTCGCTGAAGCTTAGGTTTAAGCTTAGGCCTAAGTTTAATTTTGAAGTTAGGTTGCAGGTTAGGTTATTCTTGAACTTAGCCTTAGCCTTAGCCTTAGTCTTAGCCTTAGCCTTAGCCTTAGCCTTAGCCTTAGCCTTAGCCTTAGCCTTAGCCTTAGCCTTAGCCTTAGCCTTAGCCTTAGCCTTAGTCTTAGCCTTAGTCTTAGCCTTAGCCTTAGTCTTAGCCTTAGTCTTAGCCTTAGTCTTAGCCTTAGTTTTAGCCTTAGCCTTTTCTTTTTTTTTCTTTAGGCGTGGGCTTAGTTTTCTATCGTCCGACTTATCTTCACCATTAAAGAATGTTTTCATGTTTTCCATCAGCCTTATTCTTGTTGACATACCAGACTGTTCAAAGTACATTACGTCATAATATAAATCAACGATCTACCTCAGTTTTATAAATTTATCAAATGCACCCGAATTGTTATTGTAAACAATTTTTTTGTTGCTAAAAATAAGAATTTCAACATATTTTTGCAAAATTTCAAAAGTTTTAAATTTTAAAAGTTATTTCAACGAACGTTCTTTGTGTAGTCCCAAGTGAACCAAGAACGTTATCAACGTTCCAAGAAAAGTTGCAACAGATTCACACGGATTTCACGTTGTTCAATGTTTCTCCGAACAATAAAGAAACTGTTAGGAGCGGTGATAAGGAAATGGACTAATGTTTTTTGAAGGTTCTCGGGGCAATTTCAATAGTTTTTTGAACTCAAAATTTAGAAAAGACTTTACTTTATAAAGGTTGTAATAACTCAAATTTAAGACGTTTAAACTTCAAAATCAATTTTTGATTTAGAGCTTATGGAGTTATGGCTTTGGTTTTAGTATAGGTTAAGATTGGATTTACAGTTAGCCCTAGCTTTAGACGTAGCCTTGACTATATCTCTAGCTGTGGTTGCCACCTTTGGGGCAGCTCTAACCCTAGCACTTTTTTAGGCTTTAGTACTGGACATATATATAAGGTTTTATATTGCAGTTTTAAAGCACAAAGTTTATTTTTAAGCATAAATTTATTGTAAGCCTAAAGTTGATTTTTAAGCCTAAGATTTCATTTTTAAGCCTAAATTTCACTCTTAAGCCTCTAATTCATTTTTATACTTAAAATTCCAGTTTTAAACCTAAAATTTTATTTCTAAGCTTAAAAATTATTGCTAAGTTTAAAATTTTATTTTTAAGCCTAAAATTGATTTTTAAGCTTAAAGTTTTATTCTCAAACCTAAAATATCGCTTTAAGCTACGAGTGCTTTTTTAAGCTTGATATGTTACTTCTAAGCCTAAAATATGATTTTTGAGCCTGAAATTTCATTTTTATGCTTTAGCTTTGTTTTAAGCCTAAACTTGATATTTATGTTTAAAAATTAATTTTTGGGTCTAAAATTCATTTTTAAGCTTAAAATTCGTTTTTTAGGCTTAAAAGTGCATTATTATGCCTAAAATTCATTTTCAAATCTACAATTTCATTTTTAAGCCTAAACTTTATATTAAGCCAAATACATATACATTTTTAAACAAATTTTGTAGTTTTATTTTTTTATTGTCACTAGCAAAATTTCAAAAATTTAAATTCAAAACAACTTTTTAAGACGATAAATCGCGTTCAGGAATGGTCATAATGCGTCACCTGTCATAGCGGATTAGTTTTTGGCTAGCTAAATGTGATTATGAACCTTTTATGTGGCATCCTACCGTGAGTTCGCATCGTTCCTAAAATAGAACGTTTTGAGGTGTGGAGGAGGCGGTAGGATCATATGTTAAGGTAGGGGTATATAAGGGTGAAATATGGTTGGAATGTCATAGTTTACTACTACTGTGTACTACTACTACTACTATTACTAATACTCTTACTATTTTTATTACAATATAGTCATAGTTGACTACTACTGATACTAATAGTACTGCTACTACTACTACTACTACAGTACCCTTACTACTATTGTAATTACAATATAGTCACAAGTGATTACTACTGATAATACTACTACTACTACTACTACTACTACTAATACTACTACTACTGCTACTACTACTACTACTATTACTACTACTACTACAATGTCATCATTTTTGCAAATTGTCATTTTAGTTACTGTCGTCATTACAGTAACATTAGCCCAGTTCAACAGTCCATATGGTTTATATAGTGGCACATACAAAAGCTACGGTAACTACCAGCCAAGTAATATGCTGGGAAGAACAAGTTATGATGGATCTCGCTCATTTGCTGTTAGTTATGGCATTGGCAATGGATTGTGAATAGTTTTTGGTATATAACAAGATCAAGCTCAAGGCCACGCTCTAGCCCAAAGCAAAGTCCAAGCCTAAGCCCAAGCCATACAATACGTTGTTGTACATATTGTACATACCTTTGTTTTCATAATAAAAGTTGTTTTATGTATACATTTGTTAACATTTCTTCTTCATTTTTTTAAATTTATTAGGGTAGGTTATGGTAGGGTAAAGTAGTGTTGAGTAGGACAAGGTATGGTAAAATAGAATGTGGTTTGTAATGTAAAATACGAAATTAAAAGTTAGTAACCGAAATAAATAAATTATTTCCGATTTAAAACATGTTTTTTGTAAAGCTCGAGCCAGAGTCAATTGCACTGGCGACGTCAAATTTCAAACATTTTTTAAAAATCTGAAATTTTTATCATGAAGGTTTTAGACAATGCTGAGTACAAAAATACAATTTTTTTTATTTTTGGTTACTGTATTGTGGAGTACTGTAAGGTTACGGTAGAATTTATATCTCCATAACGAATAGTTGTAGAGACATGGCGTCTTCACTATCGTGTAGTACGACCACAATACAGTATTTCTTATGTTAGAGTCAAAGTTCTATGTATAATTTTACCGTAGTAAAAATTCGTATCTTGTGTCGTAATTACAGTAACCCAACAATAATAAAAAAACGGATTGAGATACCGCTCTTTTTTATTTCAGATTATTACTCTACATGTCATTGCGGTTCGAATGACATATAATTCAAAAAAAATATTGTGACTTTTGGGGTCAAAGGTCAAGTTGAAGTTGGTCGACCCTATATGTATTTCGAAAAAAAAATTTAAAACTAAGTAAAAACTAAGTGGTGAAAGGTACGCCAGCAAAAAAACGGTTGCCCATACCTATGGGCGATTTTTTTGCAAGTCCGTCCCTGACTTTTTCTGTTCTACCTGACCCTACCCCTGACGTTTTTGGCCCTATCCGACCCTCCCCTTGACCTTTTTGGCCCTACCCAAGTCCACCCCTGACCTTTTCAGTCCTACCCAACCCTACTCTTGACCTTTTTGGCCCTACCCGACCCTACCCTTCACCTTTTTGGCCTTACCTGATGCTACCACTGACCCTTTTCGCCCTACCCAACCTCACCCCTGACCCTATTAGCCTTACCCAAACCCACCTCCGCCTTTTTGAGCCTACCCAATATTCAGTACCGTACTCTATCCTACTTATTATGCTATACCATATCATATTATATCTTATGTTCTTTACTATTCTCTACCTCACCTACCATACCATACTCTATACTACATAATATATCGTACCCATCCTATCTGATATACCATACTCTGCCATACCGTATTATATTATATCATATTATACCGTATGCTCCCTACTATACCATAACTTACCTACCTACTATACCATGCCATACCCTATTCTACCTACCACTTCATACTAGGGTCGGGTAGGACTGAAAAGATCACGGGTGGACTTGGGTAGGGCCAAAAGTGTCAGGGCAGGGTCACGTAGGGCCAGAAAGGTCAAGGGTAGGGTCAGGTAAGGCCAAAAAATCAAGGGTAGGTTCGGATAGGGCCAAACAGGTGAGGAGTAGGGTCAGGTAGGACTGAAAAAGTCAGAGGTGGACTTGCAAAAAAAATCGCCCATAGGTATGGGCAACCGTTTTTTTTGCTGGCGTACCTTTCACCACTTAGTTTTTACTTAGTTTTAAATTTTTTTTTCGAAATACATATAGGGTCGACCAACTTCAACTTGACCTTTGACCCCAAAAGTCACAATATTTTTTTTGAATTATATGTCATTCGAACCGCAATGACATGTAGAGTAATAATCTGAAATAAAAAAGAGCGGTATCTCAATCCGTTTTTTTATTATTGTTGGGTTACTGTAATTACGACACAAGATACGAATTTTTACTACGGTAAAGTGACAAAGTAAACTTGAAGTAATAATAAAAAATGCGTTTTAGTAACTCTACTACTTCACCAGTTAGTTTTTACTTAGTTTTAAAATTTTTTTTCGAAATACATTTAGGGTCGACCAACTTCAACTTGATCTTTGACCCCAGATGTGTCAAAAATTTTTTTTGAATTGTATATCATCCGAACCGCAATAACATGTAGAGTAGTAAACTAAAATAAAAAAGAGAGGTATCGCAAACCATTTTTTTATTATTTGTGGGTTACTGTAATTACGACACAAGATACGAATTTTTACTACGGTAAAATTATACATAGACCTTTGACTCTAACATAAGAAATACTGTATTGTGGTCGTACTACACGATAGTGAAGACGCCATGTCTCTACAACTATTCGTTATGGAGATATAAATTCTACCGTAACCTTACAGTACTCCACAATACAGTAGCCAAAAATAAAAAAAAATTGTATTTTTGTACTCAGCATTGTCTAAAACCTTCATGATAAAAATTTCAGATTTTTAAAAAATGTTTGAAATTTGACGTCGCCAGTGGGATCACGATTTATAAAAAACGTGTTTTAAAAGAAAATTGTTTCAAAGTACTGATTTGAAGCTTGCTTAAGATTATGCTTAAACCCAGGTTAAATATTAAGCTTAAAGATAAGGCTAAGCCTACATTTGAGTCGTATAAAGCCTAAGTTTGAGACGTAGGAAGCTATTTACATTTGAATCGAAGAGAAAAGGAGAGAAAGAAGTCTGATCCTAAGTTTTAACTTTAAGTTTTTGCCTAGTTTTATGATAAACTTAAGCTCAAACACAAGCCTAAGTCTAAGCCCGAGCGCCAGTTTTAGCATCAGCTTAACTGTATGTCTAAACCTCACCTTCAGCTTAAACCTTAACAGCCATAGCTAAGCAGCCCTAGTCAAAGCCCTAGTCTTAGTCCTAACCCTGACCAGCATAAGCCTACCTTTTTATCTAATCTTTAAGCTTAGCCCAAGCATAAACTCTAGCGTTAACTTTAGTCTTAATTAGCATAAGCTTAATACTATGTTTAAACTTTAGGCTTAGCCAAGAAATATGCTATATTCTAAACGTAAGGCTAACTCAACGTCAACGCCTTAGCCATAGCACAAGCATAAGGCCTAGCTTTAGCCTTAATCCTGGCCAGTCTGAGCCTAACTTTATGTTTAAACTCA